ACCAAAACAGGCCAACATCCATGCATTTGTGAATATTTTTACATATTTTTCGGGAATAAAATATAAAAGCAATAACGTGTGGCCCTAGTTCATCCATTGTAAAGAAAGCAATCATTAAAATATTCACTAGAAAGAGTACGCATATTCCATCTTGCAACGGGGTGAGTCTTTAATAGGAAGCGTGGGATCGTTTCAGGTTTGTGAGTACAATTCAAGGTTATGCATTTAGTGTAACATCGGATATAAACCTGGAAGTTCTGTCCCACTGAAGAGTTTGTGGGAAGCTAATTTCGTGCCTGCTCGTGAGATAGTTTGATCTACAACAATCCTTGGTGGCAATCATGCAAAAGGTGAATCACAACAATTAGAACTACACAATGAAAATAAGTGTAAACGATATCGCAGGATCAAAACGGGAGGGGTGGTAGTGTCAGTACCGATTTTCGTCCAACGTAATCCCATGATATTTCATCCATGGCGCTTAAGTATGCATTTTTTGCATTGATTTTTTAAGTCTCTGTAATATCAAACTGATTTTGCAGAAGAAGTGCCCAAAATGTCCTTTTTAGGATTTATATGGTGGCAAATCCGACGTTGGGTGAAATTCTGGTGCTCGTGTTTGGGAGGGGGGCAGGTCGTGCACGTGGCGCGCGCAGACAAGGTCACCATTCCCCGCTCCAGTCAACTGACCGGCCCGGACAGTGACTGAGGCATGGGAATGGGAAGGGATAGTGAGGCCGACGACTCAGCGCATTTTCCTCACTATAGACCATCTGACGCGCTTGAAGCTATCACGGTGCGCTAAAAGCCGTGACTTGGAAGGTTGCCAACTGACGGGATAGCTTGGACCTCACAGTCGGTCCAGGGTTGTAAGTTTACGTGGGGTGGTCGACTAGTGGTCTAAGAGACAAGCTGCAATGGCTCATTTATAGCCTTTATGGCACTCCCACTACGTGGGATCCGAGGCGGGTGAGGCAGCACGCCTAGGTGTAGCTTCGGCCCGGCTGGCCTCCATTCTCTTTGTTTTTAGCCAAAAACTGGTTATTTATTGTGCGGACCAGGGGGTGTGGAGTGGCACGTCAAGGTTCGAACCCGACCGTGCCATCCACCTGCACCCTCCCTCATCTTCGGTCTTATTGACTCTGTCTTGACACCGGGCCCAGGTGGAGTAGGGGGTGTGGTAGATGCAGCGCAAGTCTGCTCTCACTATAAATCTTGCGCACATCACCGTCCCCGCCCCCCCTTGCTGTAGAACATACGGTGGACATCGTCGAAACCGACGGTCGAAATATCGCATCGTGTCAAATTACGTTTTCTTAAAAATGTACACGTGAAGAAAAGGTAACTTTCGGTTTGGAAGTAGTCTGCAATTATGAGCTTTTTAGGACCGCGAAATTTTCATTCCCACAGCATCCTATTTGTCTGTGTATTAATGCCGCGAATAGGGTATGAGAACTGGTCCACATCCATTGCAAAATTACATGAGCCTTATACTGCGTCTTCTTACTAGCGCAGGGAGGTTTATGATTCGCCATAAACGGTAAGCTTACTGCATGCTCAAGTGCAATTGCATACCGGGTTTAAAATTATTTGTGAACTAAAAAAACGTTTTCTAAAATTTCGAGTTACCCTTTTTCAGGTATAAAACTTGAAGTAGACAGAATTTGCTACCAAATGCTGAAAATGTATAGCAATCAGTCATTTCTTAATGAGTGTAATTTTTGCGCACGTCTTGAAAGGAACTCATTCAGGGGCTGGCAATCCCCTCCTGACTGAAATATATCGGAATCATGCTGCGCGATAGTCATTGGTCGTGGTTAACATTCCATGGAATAGGTCAAGTACAGTTTATTTGCGTCGGTGGTAAGCATCAGAAAAGTATGGATTTGGTGTAACGGAGCTTTTCGGCTCATTCGAGCTGCAAGTTACAGGTAAATACACACCCACTTCGTGTTTAAAGCACTCGTTATGATGGTAGAGGTACGCTCGTCGATTGCGCTACGGAACTAACCAATGGATTCGTGCCCGACCATGATGTAGGCAAAATAGAATTACCGGCAAAACAAGGGAGACTGGGGTGGTCGTTTTTGGCTTATTGACCGTCACCAGCCAGCCATACCCAACTCCAAGGTGTAGAACACTTAAAGTTCGTTTCCGCAACTGCGGGTTCCCGCCGACAAGGAGGTCAACTCCGACGCCACACGGATACCCTAAAGACTTCTCTGAAGTGCTTGCAGAACTACTTGGCCAACTGAGAAGACCTCGATCGGTCGACCTGCAGGAGAAGAGTGAAGGCAGGCGCAGCAGTCTACGAATCCAACCGTGACGACGCTGCCAAAGTCAAACGCGAAGGTCGAAAATCACATTTCTCCTCCAGCCTACTCACAATGTCAGCGGACTTTTCGGGCACGCATTGGTCTTACTGAACATCTTTGGACCCGATAGGACATCAACTTGACAACGTCCACATTCCTCACTCTTGCCTCTGCCGCAAACACCCTGCCGACTGCTGCTCACTCTGTTGCCTCCCCGTCGCCATCATCCACGCTGTCCCAGCCGCGGCACCGACCGCAGCGACCACCACCACCACCACCACCACATGCACCACCAAAACAACCTCATTCCCTCCCTCCACCGGTGGGAAACCAGTGTCTGGAATACCAGCCTACACTAGCCGCATTCGCCTCAACCGCCCTGACTGCATCCGCACATTCGCTCACCGAATGGGCCTATTAGGACACATGAGCATTCACGAAAATCTGTGGTGGACAACCTCCGGCTACACCACATCATCACACTCTCTCACCAACACCCGCACGACACAACACCATCTACCATCACAAACATCCAATTCTCACCTCCCACACAAGTGGGAAGTGTGCCTTTCGGCTCCTTCTCCATGTGACTCCTCTGCTGCATAGTTGATCCGAGTCTGTGACTATCCCGGTGCGTCAAGCGCCGTGGATTGGAAGGCTGCCGACTGACGCCCAAGTTTAGTCCACGCAGGCTGCCCAGTGGGCTGAGGACGAGGCTGTCACGGCTCCCTCTCAAAGTGACCTGTGGAACTCTCCGGCATGTGGGAAGTGTGTGTTTGTGTGGTTTATGGGTAGTGTCTTTCACTCTAAGACTGTTTGATTAGCCAGCCTTGAATGGTGACGGCCCAGGCGAATGCAGGGCCAAGTGTCACCCTTCTGGGCTTAAAGGTCTGCAAGCGTCTGTTATGCCGGCACTAGCACACCATGGCCCTCGCACACCTGGCTCTCTTCCAGTAGATGCGCTTGCGCTTTCTGTGGGCATACAGGTCGTGAACATGGCTACCCAGCCATCTTCCTTCTTTTGACCTGTCGTGGTGTTGTTGTAGGTTAAAATCCTGGTCAAGTTTTCTTGTGGACCGGGGGGTGAGGCGCCAAGGTGCGGGCTCATCCGCGCCATCCACGTGTTCCCTCCCCGCCTCCGGTCTTCTTGACGCGGCCTTGACACCTGACTCAGATGGGGAAGGATGAAAGAGTGCGATAGATGCGGCGCAAGCATACACCCCTTATAAAGGAAATCGCGCGCAATTCGACGTACATGCTTAACCTTGCTGGGGAGCGCACGATGGACATCGTCGGCAATGACGGCCGGATTGTTTGAAGACCAACGCCCCTAAACATTCAGCCAAGCGCCCGTTGTTCTGTCGTTGCGATCGGGTATCTACAATCGACAGGGCAACCGGTAGGACAAAGAGCCCGTGGCTCAGTGGTTAGGGGCGGTAGACTTCTAACCAACAGGTCGCAGGATCGAGTCCCGGGTACTCTACGCCTCAGGATTGGGTATGATTGGCTGACGACGGTTAATAAGCCTGAAATGGCCATTCCCGTCTTCCGTGTCGGTAATGCTATAGCACCAGTTTTGCGTGAGAGTATCGCGTCACCGGGGAATCCATTTCAGATGCTGACCTCTGACCGCGAGAAGGAATACTGTTGAACTACCACGGGTTCTCTTCCCCCCCCCTCCCCCGTGGGTTTAGTCGCTTTTCCGGTTGCTCGGTGAAGTTGCTCTTCGCACACCTAATTCTCGGTTTTCTTGTCCCTGCTTCAGCTTATTTCGCGTCATTGTTAATCCACCGGCAAACTTTTTTTTTCAACTAGATGGGGACCATCAATCCGGTTTTCCGTGTGGCTGTAACCGGTTGACCGTAGACTATTACGGCCGCTTGGCATTATCCTACTTAACATTCGGTTACTGCCAGTGCTTTTTACTGATCTATTACTAAAATTCCGATGCCTATAAAGATTACGTCAGATTCCTTCACGCCAAGTCACCATACCCGTCCCCCGCGTGGAAATCTTTCGTAACCAGCGACTACCAGGGGTTTCCTTCCTCAGCTGCTTTTCGGATTATTGGACTAAGTTGTCCCTTAAATATCTCACCATCGGCTTCCTCCAGGCACTGCGTTGGTTAGTTATTCGGCTCCTTAGTCCATGTCATACCTCGCCTCAGCTTAGGTCACGTAACCCTCATTGGATCGATATACTCGTTCCTTCATTAGACGATGACAATGAAACCGGCTTCCGCCTAACTGTACCGGGTTCACCCCCAACTACTATGCGTGGTTGTTATTATGACACCCAACGACCGATTACTTTACGTGCTTTATATTGCTTTGCTACGAAATTTCGTTAACTTCGACATGGTTTGGGTGGGCTTACTTCATGTCAAGTCTTTCGTAAAAGGTGACTATCGAGGGGCTTCCATTTCCAGTTGGGATCTGTCCGCTTTCCGATTAGTCCCTAGCGTTGTCTCTTGCCAACCCATCCACTGACTTCCTCGTCTTGCGTTGAGTTAGTTAGTTATCCGATTTCCTCGTCCACATCATACCCCGCATCAGGTTACTTTACGCCAACATCAAGGTATCCGGTTTACTCCCTCCTACCCCCCCTCCACCCGAAGTTTGTGTACATTAAACAATATTACCACCAGGTTAAATATAACACTATTAAGAGGTTTAAGAACTTTTGTTACACATTAAACATATTATGCGTGGGGGAGGTTTGCTTAACCGGATAGATTTCAGCAACATGTCCAAGAAACGTGTTCCAGGCCATATTAAGGCCGCTTCGGTCAAGGTCGAACCACATTCTGTACTGGGCTTCGTCCAGATGCGCCCACAGAGATCTTCTAGACACCGAGCCACTTTCGCGCAGTTTCCTCTTCAGCCGGCTCCAATAGGCCTCGGCGGCGTTTCTGGGGCGGCCCGTCGTTGGATCCGCAAAATTTCGTGTGCGGTTAACCCTGCAGTGCCGATATCCTTCTGATGGCAGGCCATTATATGCCCTCCACTCATCCGTTACGACTACGCTACCGCTGGCCACCCACTGCCTGATGACAGCGCGTAGGGAGGTCCAGCTCCTGTCATTCAGCTGCTCGAAAACAGCCCTCCGCTGCCGTGTGTCGTACATGCCGACGATCCAGTAGGGTACACGTCTCCGTTTGGCATTGCGCTTTCTGCGGCTGACCATCGTCGCGTCAAGCTGAACTTCAATTCCGGGCCCGCCAAGTTGTCGTGTCAGTCGCGGCAGAACGGCTGAGCAGACATCCCGGCAGATGCGGTACCAGCTGAGGACTGTGTTGTGCGCAACCTCAGTTTCCTGCTCACACTGTTTCACTCGAGCCCCTCTCACGAAGGCCAGCAGTATTTTCATAATCTTTGACAGGGTTAGGTGGCTGCCTTCAAACAGCGAGCCCGTTCGAACTGACTTTCGGCGGTGACATCTGGTGCATTGAAAGATGACGCCATCAGAGCACACTTTCCGCGCATGCAGCCGCATCGGCTTACGGCAGAGGCAGGCTTGGATTGTGGGGAGCAGTCTTTTCTCCTGACAATATGCTATCACGTTCGGCATTTCAATTGCCTCCCTGATGTTGTCCACCGTTACGAGCGCATCGGCTTGAGGGCACCACCGTTTGGCATTGGGAGGCTTCGTAGTAGGCATTCTACAATATGAAAACATAATTTTCTCAAGTACACTGATTGTCTTTTTTCAAGATAAAATAAATTTGTGCTTAACTGACATTATTCTGTATCACTGTCACTTAAATAGCACATATGACTTATTTGGTATACTTTTCCTTCAGCGACTTCCCTGTGTTCCGCTGTTTTGCATCATTATGTCATTGGGTCAGCGTCCCCACTTCACTCTTATGGGGTTCGCCGACTTCATTCTCCCTAGACGTTCTTTTGGCTATTTCACTGCCTCATTCACGGCCGCATTTCGCCTTCTTGACGGCATTCGAAAGCGTACAAAACCGGCTTCCCTTAAAAATGATTTGGGAAATAGGAATCCGAGGCCCTCCTCTTTTCTTCGTTAGAAATAATCCCCAAACTTCCCTTAGAAACCTGTTTTTGGTCCACTCGTGGCATCCCTAGTCTTCGTTCCAGTTAGGTTTGTTACAATGTATTTTACCAACGGACACCCACTTTCTACGGCATTAGTAACCCCATCAGGTTTCCGTTAGTCCGCGTTGCAGTCGGTTCAGCCTCAGTGGCCTTGACGGTCCAATTACCTCTCTCGGGGGTGGGACTTCTTTTTTTCGGCTACTTACACCGCTGTTCAGATTTCGCGCTGGTTACATTGTCATTTAGACAAATCGCTTTATTTTGCGCGACTTCCTAACAATATACCATCACTGGGTTACTTCTTACGTGTGTTTTCCATCTGCCTCACCCGTGAAACCCCTATTACTACCGTTGCCGTATTACACGCGCTTATTATTCAGTTTTTGGGACCTGGACAGCGTAATCGACCCTTGTCTTTGGCTTTTTTCAGGATTTGAGCAGGCCTTTCCGACTGTTTAGTTAGCTCCATCCATAAAACTCCCATTTTACCACCATTCCCGCATTGGAGTTCGCCTGGGTTCGGTCTTCAGGTACACATCCACGTAGGTTAGTCACGCCAACATTTCTCACCTGACTTATATTACTACGACTCCGTCCCCCCATACATCGCGTCTACATTTCAGAATGCTAGCGCAGTTTTACTTTTAGTTGACGATTCCGCCTATCTTTCGTTAACTACGTTCTCGACCTCGCCAACATTTCCCATCGCGGCTATTACATCAGTCAGATTAAGCCATATGTGACTCACAATTTACGTCTACCCACCATTGGTCGGTACTTACAATAATCATTTTTCCAGAACTTGCTGCCAAATATCCTTCGCGTTCGCTTTTTGTGGACCTTTACAGTCCGTTTGCTTACAGTACTAGAATTTGTGGGCTTACGTTTATTAGGGGGCGTTTAAACAACCGTACGGTTTACTTCCGCCCTCTTGGACTTTTCTTTCCTCAAACCTTTTAGCCTTCGCTTCCTCGTGTTCCACCCCAAAACTCTCATTACCAACATACCCGATTTACAGAGGTCCATGTGTTAGATATGTCCAATAGGCTTACATATTCAATTCTTACCCAGTGGCCTTGTTTGGCCTGCTCGGAGGTGCGGATGCCAGCGGGGTGGAGGAAGTCCCAGCGGCGTTGACAACAACAGCAACAGGAGCGGGGGGAGGGGGGCGGTGCGTAGCATTTCTGACGGGGTTTAGGGGTCGCGGGGGGACTGACAGGGGTGGGGCGATGTCCACGGAGAGGCCCGCGAGGGGAGGGGACGGAATCACAGTCGGGAGACTGCAGTTCTCCGTCGTGGTGGAAGGAGCTGATGATGGCGCCGATGCTGCCGAGAGTTCGGGATTGGAGAGCGATAGAGTTGCTGCCGTCGTCGTATTGGGTTCCTCGTCTGAGCTTGCAGCCAGATCGACAAACAGGCTAGAACGTTGTGGTTGGAAATGGAAGGAGAAATAAAACTCCATATGCAGGCTCACCCCAACGAAAAACCAAACCGGCAGAGTGCTAACTGCTGGATCTCGTGGTCACTGTTGTATTTACGAGCTGTTACCGCCTGCACTGAATGGACCTTTGTCGACAGCGCATCTAGCTTTGTGTGCAAGAAAAGACATGCAAATGGAAAGGCAAAACTGACTGAACACTAAGCCGGTTACCGAGGGCGGATAGAAAAAGGAAGCCTACTTCGTCGGTGCAGAATCGGGCGCCGCAGAAGGAAGCTCAGCTGGCTGTTCATCAGTGACGGCAGCGGGAGGAGACGGTGCGCAGCAATCATTGAAAGACGTGGAATGAGCAAAAGTGGGCTGTTCCGGTTGCGTCGCGCTACCCTCCTGGTCGTCATCGTCGTCGATAAGAACGACACAGTCACTGGATTGAGTGACATCAGGATCTATGGGCGCCACCGGCTCAGATGATAAATCTGACTCCAATATGCAAGGCGACATCCTAGAGGTCCCATTTAGCAGTGAGGGAACAGCAGCAGTTGTCTGGTTGTCCGCAGGAATTCCGGGAATCGACCCGTTGGCGGAAGCAGTAGCAGAGTAATCAGACTCGGCGGGGTTGGAGGCCTCTCGCCAGTGTCCATTGGCATCTACGTGGACCATTTTGGCATCCTTGAGACTCGGATCTGCCATCAGTTTGACGAAGAAGCTTAAGAGTTTATCAAAACAGAACCAATGATGCACCCTCTTTGAGTGCTGTGAAATGAATGTATTCGTGCATGAAAGTACATCGGCCGAACAAACAAGCAGTTGACAAGTTAACAAATTATTAAACGTATTGAAGAGTGAAAAATATCCCATTTCCGCAGCTGTTGGATAATTGCCAGAACGCAGTCATTCCTCTGACCCTAGTTTTGCCTCCCTGTGCGTATTGATAGCAACTCAGTTTGACTGGTTTAAGGCCACATGAGAGTATGGACCTCTGACCATAACTGGACAGCACCTTCGCCGGGACGCGAAAAGGCAATACTCGTGAGTTAGTACACTCTATTCAAGACTAACAGAATAGCCAGAGGTGAATATAGTCCAAAGGGCACTGGCATTCTGACTGCAAGACGGAAACCAGCGATTTTTAAATGCAACACGAAATAGGAGCGATTTCACTTTATCTATGGGCCTGGTGGACGACACTGACGTGCGTCTTAAAATTCCCGATGACGCCCAAAAGGGTCTGCGCCGTGGTCAAATTGGTCAGGCGTCTGAATAAAACTCTCGATGAACGAATGACACGGGCACAAATTGCCATTTCCAGATGGTTACGACAAGTTAACACATAAGGTAGGCAATCTAAGAAACAAAATAGAAAAATTGGACGCGGCAGAACTACTTACTCATCGCGTCGCAGATCGCGGAATGGGGCCGGCGAACTGCAGACAGGACAGGACCACCGAGGACGCTTCTTGTTAATCGTCAGATAGGAGGACAGGTCAAAGCACTGCAGATGGTCACAGTTCACTGAGCGCACAGGGATCTGCAGAGGAGACAGGGTACACATGTAGGGCCATTAAATCACTTCTAGCGCTTCCGACGAAAAATAAAGTTATCTTCGTGCTAAAAAGTCCGTCGGAGGTCACAATCGTGCTAGGAACGCTGACATTAACGACGCAACAGTATCGCCGAAAATGTATGGACTCACTTCGATACGCGTGAGAGCGAGGGGGCAGAGCAAGGAAACAGGAATCCATCTATCGGACTGCAACTCATCCTCGGAAGTCAGCTTGGACTTAACCAATGCCTAAGAAAAGAGTGCAAAGTGTTAAGTATCTGAGACAAAAGTGGAAAATGCTGCAAGACAACTCTTAGGGTTTCGTGTTTGTTGGAAAATCAGAAAAAGGGCAAATGGCTGCATCGATCAGGTTCGGATATACAGTAGGCAGCCCCACTGATGAAACTTCGTGATGACGAATTCTGAACTTTTCCGATATCCAGGTAATTTCCTACTCTTAAAAGTGGCTGATCAAAACCTCATGTTTGGCCGTGAACAAAAATTAACAAAAACAAGAAAAGCATGACATTATTGCCTTCAGGAGACGGAAAGTTTGATTCTGCGTCCATGAAAATCAGATGAGGCCGGGTATAACAAATCTCTTTATTTTCAAGAAAAAAGGGGCAAAATCGGTTATAAAAAATACTGTTTTGTAAATTTGTGACTTTTGGTGCCATAAAACTCACTAACAGACTTGTTTCACCGAGAATTACTGTGCCTTCCACTTACTGCGTGGGTTCGAATCACACCAAGGCATCCAGTTTTTCACCGTTGGGTCAATATGAATTATTCAAAATCTGCCAAAATATCCATGAATTATAAAATTTTGTTTTGTAAATTCGTGACCATTCGTGTCATAAAACTTACTAAAAGACTTTTTGGACGGTTGTTTGTTTTACCACACCGAAAATTACTAAACGTAAAGAAAAGTTTATATCAAGCACCTGCGACATGCTGTCACTCTGTGGCGAATTATTTGTGATGGAGCGGCGCCCAAAAAGTAAACAGGGTGGACAAAAAACGGTCCACAAGTAGGCAAGACGACAACTTTATTGGTCGCACACAAAAAACGAATCACTATAAACCCATTGAGGCCGTTCACAGGAAATATCCATCCACAATGAGCCTTATTTACGCAATCTGCAACAACAATCTTCTGAAATTCCAGGTTGCAGGAGAAATTAATCAGTTCTATGTTAGTAAGTAGTAATTTGTAGACCCAACTATGTCCTCTTCTTGAGAACAGTCGTTTTTCTCTGGTGTAAGGCAGCTTGGACGGATTTTGCGTTATGTGGATTTTCTTGTGGTAACTCATGAGATTTCAAGAGTTATCCGACCTACTGCACAACTGGGACTCAAGTAGTCGCCTGCATTTACGGACACTTCGTACTGATGTTTTGATAGTAGACATCAAATTTACAAACCATAAACCACTGTGGACGAGAACTCACCAATGTCTCGGAGGCCGCGATCACGCGATCAGAAGACATACAAAAATCGTAAACACCAACAAGAGCTTCTGGGGTCTCCGATGGCAAGCGAGGAAACTTGCAACCCGGAGGAGGGTCTGCGACTGGTTCGCCAGCAACAGCCGACGAAAACATGCGCACAAACTCCGCTATGGGCTGGACACGATCCAGAGTGACTTGAACAAGGGGAAGGTTGAGTAAGTGATTGAGAATAGGAGTACAGGACCCGGAGCCGACCATTTCAAGCAGCGGCAGAGCGTGGTCCTCCAGAGGGGCGTGCAGCCAGGTTAAATCAATTTCAACACCCCGACCGCGGACTGAGTAGTTTGATCGAGTTACAATCTGCAAGTACGAGAAAGATCAGTCAATAATAAAACTGTGTGGACTCGCGCGACACACGTGACAGCCACCTGTTGTTTTCGATCACTGATGGTGTTCGGGAATCGCCCTTTAAACCCCTCTAGTCTGAAGAAGTTAGGATTCACGCCCTAAGGACCTAATCAGTCAGGTCTATTCTGTCCCAAGTTTCAAATTTATGCCAGACTCCATCATTGGAGAGTGGACAGTGTGCCTGCTCTGCCGCACTGATACTCAGTCGGTCGAGCTGGATCAGTCCCACAGCCGCCGCAAAACAGCCTGAAATTAAAAAAGGGAACATGTCACGCAGATTACCGTACAGACTCCCCTCCAAATGCCCAACCACCAACTGATCCGACTGTACCAACTGGGCGTAGACAACACAGTTTGCAATTTTTTTTATTTTCTGATGATGGACTGGAGTGCGACTTCGAAACGCTGGTTAAGTCGTCTCCTGCCCCCTCTTTTGAATGCTTAGACTGAACAAGCCATGACATGCAGTGAACGGGTAGGAAAAGAAAAACAACCTTGTCAGTGATGTCGATTGCAAATCGAAGACGATGACCAAATTTCTGCGCCTGGCCGCCATGAAAGATGGGATCGGGAAGGGTGACATTGCGACGAGCAACGCGGACGGAGAGACAGCGAGGTAGCACTTCGCAGGCGAGAACGCGAGAGGGATTGGACTTGTCACGTGGAATGTAAAGTCCGGCCGTAGCCCAAGCCAGTCGAAGAATGAGACGGTACTTGTCAACGCCGCTGAAGCACAAAGACAAGGCTTGAACAGGAGGCAGCAAGTTTAACTATCAAAAGGAAGACATATCATGTTGAAAGGCAGTGGCAAGAGGCAGGGTGGAGGGCTTAGTTAACTGGAGCCTAACTAAAAATACTAGTGATGGAAGGAACTCGCCGCCTAACGGATTGAAGACAAAACGTGCTTCCATCCGGCACATGAGGATTGCGACTGCCAGGAAGCGGAATTCGACAGGGGATTTACAGCTAGACTACACTGATGAAGAGATTCAAACACAATCAAGAACTGTAATATCCTCCACCAGATGCGGAATTTTGTTATAAGGAAAAAGGACTGCCCGGCCTACCATTCAAATTTCATTTATTTACGCAAGATATCTCAGCAATCAAACCTAAAGATGCGACCTTAAGTCGACTGACCCTACAAATTTCAAAGCAGCTTCTTCTGTAAACACTCCTCGGGACCCTATCCAATTTTCTTCCTAATCAACGTACGAACCCGTCTGACATTTCTTAACTGACTGTCCATGGTGTTTTTTAATTTTCGATCAATTCTACCTGTCACTCGCTTGCATAGGGACATGTTTAACCATCCGGCCTGGTCAAGGGCAATTAACTGGCAACTTCTGGCCTTCCCAGACTTCCGCAAAAGAGGGTTAAAAATGTCGCCACATACAAAAAACAGACAAGACACAGGGAATACACCAAGTCCCACCACCTTCCCTACCTTCGCAGACTAGTGGGATTCAAGGAAACCATAATGCGAGACTGAACATCGTCAATCCAGACCTCAGATGCAGGTAGCTATTAGGTTCGGTAATTAATTTGTTTATCAACAAGGAAAGCATGAGGCTCAATGTTGATTAGATGATAAACAAACAAGCACGAAGTGCAGACGAACTCATGCGGTCGTCGTGACTGATCCACCAGAATACGCATCGTATTGTCGTCGAGTTCGAGGGTGAAACTGTAGGTCAGATAGCCAGTGTAGAAACCCAGGGAGGCAGCACTTGGCTTGGCACCCGAGAGAATAGACAGCAGGGGGATACTAGTAACCTTCTGGTCTGCCAGATCTCGCAACGTACGGACCATGTTTTCGGGATCGGGGTATTGAAGGGGGACGTTGGCTGGGCAGGTGAACTGTACAGGCCGCAGGAGGGCGACGGGTCGCAAAAAGGGGGACTCCGAGAAAATGCCAAAGACGTTGTTTGCGGATAAGAGGGAGTTCATGGCCTCCAGCGTCATCTGATCAGCGTCAGTGCACCGAAGGGGGAGGAACTGGTAGGTTAGGGTAGAATTGTGCGATGTGGCTAGACCTGCGAACGAATAAACGGAAGGCGGAGTCATTTGACGCCCCTAATCTTATATAAGCCGGAGCCCTACGCAAGTCAGAGAATGCGGAGTTCCATTTGCTGAATTTAAAAACCAACGCTTGAATCTCGTTTTCTTCAGGGAGGCATGGGCGTTGATGTTAACGGACTTCATCTACCTGCAACCGTGCAGAGAATACGGAAGGACCTACGGAGAAGATTAACCGCAGTGAAACACGTGTCTAGGTCATTAGCTAGTATCTACGGTAGGTGTGCAAATTCATGAAATGTTAACCGAAATTCTGAAGTGCGTCCTCGTTTCGAGAAGATTACTTAAGTAGGGTTGTAAAATTAATCATCATACAGCATAATTCTATAATAATTCAATTTCCTTGGGATGCCGGCTTTCGAACGAACTTCTTTCCGGCCGCATGCAAAACAACACTGCAAAAAACGACTACATAAGTAGCATTTATCGATGCCCTTATCTCTTGGCAAACATGCATAAAAATATTCATTCTTTTACTCATATTGTAGAAAGTTACGTCATTTTCCAATTTCATACTCCAAGGAAGGGTAAAATTCGATCTTCAAAAAGTTCCAAATTATGAGACTTTTTAATACCGTGAAATGCTCGTTCATAAAACATCTTGCCTCTGCGGTTGATAACGCGATTTGTAAAGTTCACAATGCGGCTCAAATCCACTGCTAGATTTTATTAACCCGTGAGCGGCAGGCCGAATTAAAAATTATTCGGGAATTGGAAAAGTTTTTGAAAGCCGAATTATGCCCTCCCTTCGAGTATGAAATTGGGAAAGGACATAATTTTCTACAAAGTGGGTAGAAGAATGAATGTTTTTATGCATGTTTTCCATGAAATATAATTAAGTTTTTAAGGACATCGATGAGCAATGTAGTGTGGTTTTGCATGCGGTCGAAAAGAAGTTCTTTGGAAAGCCGGCATCCCGAGGTAACTGAATTATTACAGAATTATGCTGTACGATGATTAATTCTACAACACTACTTAAGTGGTCTTTTCGAAACGAAGACGCACTTCAGAATTTCGGTTAACATTTCATGAGTTAGCACACCTACTGCACGTCGGGAATACAGTGAAACCTTTGTTACTGGACGGCGTCATTAATCGGCCAGAATAAAAGAGGCAGAGAAGCCAACCGCATTTAAACGTGCATAAGAGCGAATTAAGGCTGAAGAAAGTAAGGGTCGTTTCAAAAGGTGTGCGTTTTTACGGATGATTAAAATCATGCACAGTAACCTGGTGAGCCGAAAGCCTCACCCAATACCGACATCCAACCCTGAAATCCCATCAACCTTATCACCCGAAGGAGTGTAAAAAAGAGAAAAAAAAGACAAAACAACCAAAAATTTCACGAAAGTGGAGGAGGAGGAGGAGGAGGAGGAGGAGGAGGAGAAAAGAAGATGCCAACTTAATAATGGTCAAACATAATAACTCAAAGCAGAGGCGGAGGAAGTTACTCACTGGCGGCGTAATTGATAAATCGCCCTGAACTAACAGCATTCGGGTTCAGTTTGATTGACGGATCACCATCTGACTCCAGTTCCGTGGGCCTCCCCTCGTTTTCCATGACGCTGGCGACTGCCTATTGCATGCCAGCAGGTCAGTTGAAGCTGCCGATGGCAGACACCCTGACAGTAGACTGACAGATGAGGGAATTCGTGACAACAGAGACAGTGGTGTCAATGGCAAATGTCGGATTGACGGTCGATCTCGCCGTCGGATGGTTCGCAGCGTTTATCGCCGCAGTGAAGTTGAAGCTGTCGCACACTAAGACGTCGCCTTAAAAAGGGAGGAAAATGAGATATGGCAAAGTATGCTCACTTCCTACGTATAAGACTGATTGTTCTCAGTAGATCTGATACGTGTACATCCAGATATGCACGTTGCAGTATTGAGGGGGAAGAATAAGAGGGATACAAAGTAGGGAGAACAAAAATAACCATCAAACCGAGGTCACAGAAGTCCATCTCAAAAGAAGTCTTCAAAAACCGAGCGACTAAGGTTCCCCTAGCGAACAAGAGTTCGAATTCCTTATACCCAACTGATGACACAAGCGTTCTGGGGCTATATGGTATGCCAAAGATTTACCAACCTGACCTTCATTTGCGAACGATATTAGACGTGTGTAATTCGCCTATCATGCAATTACAGAGTAGCTGGGAGAGACAGTCACACCCATCCTACGCAAAATAACCACACCCAGTCTACGGAACCCTTAAATTCATCGATTTCATATTTGCTCAATAATATTCCCCTCACAGAAACAACATAATATTTATGTGACGAAATTGTCAAGTATGAATGCCCTGTTGGACGCCCCGGCTTAGCCCTAAAACAACTGCTCCTTTGCTACATGTCGAATGTCCAATTCAGATTCAGTGGCCAATTTTACCGCCAGATCCACGGATTAGCGATGAGAGCACCTTTTGGACCATTGTAGAGGACCATCGTTCCTACGCTCGACGTGTTGATGACGTTTTCATAATAGCTGGCGAGAGGATTGGTTTGGACACCCTCTGGACAAAGTGAACCAGGTTCACCCAGCGTTAACCCCCCCCCCTTGTAAAGGAAGAAGGGGGAGGCTCTCCCCTTTCTGGATGTCCTACTTAGTAGGACGTCTGACGGAATAATTCGTTGACGGAATAATTCGTTGAAAACATGGATAGGCAGTACGCACATTTCTACAGTTTTGTTCGACTAACTCAGACACGAAGCTTAGTCGGCTGATTAACCAACCGAGCTAGGAGAATATGTGCACCAGATACGCTGGAGAACGAACTCACCTTTATACGAAACATTGAGAAAGTGGTCACTCCGATAAGTTCACCACAAGAGGTACAGAAGAACGGCTGCCAACGAGGGAACGTACTGACGACTGAACAAAAGATATTCCTCACACTGCCCTTTAGAGGGCACCCGGTGAGCGAAATTCTACAATGTCACTTGAACTCCGCTATGGCGCGCAAGTGCCAGCCGCCAAGACTAATTTGCTCAAGCACTCTGCTTCATAGCCTTGAAGGAAAGGACAGGCTGCCTTTCCAGATTTATTTAATGGGCGTCTTCGCCTCTACTTGCTCCTCTGCGGCAGGTCATATTGGTTGAATGACAAGGCGTCTATCAAAGCGGAGGCGGAGCACCATCATGCTTGACTTAATCAAGGCACGGAAAAGTCCACCTTTGGTGCAAACGCAGCGCACTTGGTTGACAGCGGCCACCCGGTAGAAGTCAACCATGCCTTTCGAGTCATCTATAAAGTGACGGCGAAGCAATCCAAGTCCCTGCGCCAGTGGATACTTGCGACAACAGGGGCTATACGGTTGGCGAACCAAACGTTGTGTTCAGCAGAATGTCTCTCAACAAAAGACGCAGATGTCATGACTCCTCCCTGGGTAAATTATGGGAATGGTTGAATCCCCGGAGTATGAGGGAAATGATATATGTACATCATTGGTAGTAAGTGATGCACAAAATACTACAAGAGGATGCCCAGGCGACGCAGAAGATGGAGGGATCGTGGCCACTCAAAGTGGCCAGGAATACGCCGGGCTTGGGATGACTAAGGCAAACTGGCAGTAATAAAACTAGGTATGGGTATTAGAACAAGTAAACGCAGCGCGCACAGTGTCTGACGTGTCGCTATCGCCGATGTCGGAGTATGTCGAAAAATAGATATCTACTCGATATCTGGATGGCGGACAAAATCGATATCTAGTAGATATAAATACCTCGGAAAAGAGATATCTACTAAATATCGATTTTGTCCTGCGACAACATCCCCAGTAGCATTGGTATATCTAACCGATATCGGACGGATATCGACTTTTCGAGATACGGACGGTGAATAATTGGCTAATTTGACTGGTTAGCGGTGTACACCGGTTTGAATATTTCGGTGGGTCAACTAGCACTACTCTAACTAAGAGCAATCCAGAGAAGCAGCTCACATGAATACGTATTAGCTAATCAGCTTTATAGTGGACTGTCAGAAAAACGTCATTAATTAAAAATCAGAATCGCGGCTCCGCGAGGCAGCACCGTGAAAGAAACGCAACCCAAAGACAAGAATATAAACATATGATTATTGATTAAAACGAAAACAATTGCAAAAAGAAAACGGCAGGTTAAAGCAAATGATATGGCAATCATGGAATCCAAACCATCTATTGAAGCCAAAACCGGACCTGGAAAGTAAGGGTAAATAAAAATAAAATTGTAAGACGTAAACTTGCAGATGATGAGCAAAACGTGCTCAACCCCGCGACAATTGGCACTATTGACTTTTGTGACTTGGAAGTCAGAATAGCAGGCCTTCTGTGTATGCACATGTGTCCAGCCTGCTTAACCCCGCGACAAATAGCATTACAATTTGCAAAATTCTGACGACTGCCTACTGATTCTCGTATGCGTTGACAGTCACGCACTCGTGCGCGGGTATGTGCAAGGTATCAGCTGCTTAACACGCGAAGGAGTGACGTATGGTCATACGCGCAGCCGCTCTGCGCCATTTAATGCGCATCTACAGCTAGAGATGGCAGACGCAACAGGAAACTGAATTACTGAGACAGCTTCTGCTCCAGAGACGTAAGCCGATAAGCGAATCTAAAGTTTGCTAAATTCCCCAGTCTACGACTGTGAGTCTACCGTTTCAGACTGAATTGGCATACCATTTTTAACAATTTTTCGACGCATTCAAGCTGTGGTGTTTTCTAGCCGATCCCTATAATTTCCATTATCCGCCTACCATGTCTTTCGGCAGAATAAACCACAAAAATAACTGTGCAAAAAATAAATGTGTATATTGACATAAATACAGCAATGCAGAGATTCGCTTTGCGGTGAGTGTATCACGAGTTTCGACGACTGCAAGTTGACTTCCTATCTCGGGTGATCCACATAATGCTAAGCCTTAAAATATATCCGGTACATGCGAATATGCGAGTTCATCGCGCAAAGAACACCCGTTCCCTATGCCGTTAATGTCAAATAAGGCAGGGCGGAAATGTGTTTATCGTGCAGGTGGGTTCCAATCAAGGCCATTTTGTAAGCTTTCCGCGCAATGACATGTTGCGCTGCTTTTCACTTTAAGCCAGTCAATTAATGAAATTATTATTTCGGCCAAAGGCATAGGGTAGCAAAGATTCACTTGCTGCCTATCGTGGAGAAGCGGACGTCGACGCTTCGAGAAGTTGTTGCAGGAGGGCGATGCGTTTGACGACCGGATCATGACTGCCTCTTCTTGTTGCTACAAGGGTCGCTGGTCGACTTCCATCCACATCCGATCGGGGATAAAATAATCTTGATCACTCGCCACAATCTGACAGAATTGCGGCCAACTCTGCCTAGATTTTTGCCTTCATTTCGTACAATTTCTATCTTCCCGAAATAAATTTAAGTCTTTATCGAATGTTTGTACTTCCCATTCTCGAGTATTGCCGCTAATTCTTTGGTTTGATGAACGAGACTAACCGTTCGAAAATTTAAAATGCTCAATAACATTTTACTAGAGGAATCTTAAGTAGGGAACATGCAAATATCCCTTCAGCGGACAGGTGACAGCTGACCAACCTAAAATTTTTATGGGTTCAAAGACTGAAAGCGGGCTTCCGTCTCCTCTTTCGCATTTACAATAGATCAAATCGTCTTCGAATTTCAGCAAATATCCCTATTAGTCGTCCACCTCGCAATATCTCCGAGATTATAGCTCCTCCCGCTTGCTCCACCTCTAAGCACACTCTTTTAATATTTCATCCAGCCATACTTTCTCCTGGAATAACCTTTCAATGAATATGAGGTCTTCAGATAAGCTATACACTTCTGACAGTATGCTGCGCCTTTATCTGAGTAATGACTCGATCAAACTTTTATTTCCCTCATCCTTCCTGGGCAACTTTCTCTATGACGCCGGGAAAGGGCCACCAGAAATTTAGGAAGCCTCCATTAAATTGCCGTGTCCGGTTACATTTTAGTCTTTTGTGTGTAGTGTCGCTTCACGGGATTCCTCATCAGAAGTGTTAATTTCTTCGATTTTTCAGTTCATGTATCATGCCCCTCATGGAATGTGATACCTTTCCTGACAAATTCTCTCAAAGAAGTAGTATAGCTAGGGTGACGTGCACGCAATATTCCGGTTCAGTTTCGTTGATCACCGCCACTCATCAGAATTCCACTCTGCCCTCGTGATTTCAAACCCTCACTCCTTCCACAATCGTTGATTTTGCGGCTTTTGATGTCAAATCACCATTTCGACCTCAAGCGCGCTATCGACGCCCGTGGACAAACCCTCTGTATTCGCCATCTGCTAATAGTTTGGTCACATCACCCTTGCCCCCTTCTCGACTGGACTCAAAGCGGACTGCGAAGGATCGCGTCTGGGTCCCTCTCCTCTCGCCATTTTGACTTGAATGGCCTCAGCCGGCATATGAATTCTGCGTTGATAATGGCCGTTTCGAGCCTTTCACTTAACACCACACGCAGGCCAGTCCTGTCTGAAACGCATACTTCGTGAAATCCGTTATACACTGCCACATGCAGGCCGTTCCTACCCGCTTTTCATCCGTTCATGAGCGA